CCAATCTTTTTTTTTTTTTTTGAGTTGGAGTCTCACTCAGTCACCCAGACTGGAGTGCAGTGGCACACTCCCGGCCACCGCAGCCTCGACCTGCTGGGCTCCAGCAATCCTTCCGCCTCAGCCTTCCAAGTAGCTGGAACTACAGGCGCGCGCTACCACACCCAGCTAATTTTTTTGATTTATTGTAGAGATGAGGTCTCGCCAAGTTGCCCAGGCGAGTCTCGAACCCGTGGGCTCAGGCAATCCACTCACCTCAGCCTTCCAAAGCGCGGGATTACAGGCTGAGCCACCAAGCCCGGCAACCTCCTTCCAATCTTAATAGGCCTTTCTCAGAAAGGCTGCCATGATCACCCTCTCTAAAGCTACAAGTTATCCCAGACCAGCATTCCTGACCTCTCTTTCCCTGTTTATTACTTGTTCCAGAGCACATTTTAAATACAGGGATGAGTCATTACACTTCTCGATTATGTTCTAAATGATAGCCCGCTTCTCTCATTAGGCTGTGTCTTGTCCTCACTTTCCCTAACTCACTTTAGAGTTCATCCTTAAGAGTGTTAGCTCTTTACTGAAGATGCCACTGAAAGTACTAACCAAAAACTTTGGGCAGAAGTGGGCAGTAATAACATTTTTTTCCGACTGCAAACATTGTGGGGAAAGATATTAGGGCAACTAAAGACTGAAAAGGAGTTGTAAAATTGCAGCTAAGTTTTACATTTCAAACAAGGTAATGCAGAGTTCCCTGTAGAAGCCAGGCAAGAAAAACTATACAACTACTCCCTTCAAAGTAAATCTCAGAGCTCTGAACAGTTTTAAACACATATTAAACAGACAAGGAATAAAGACTATCAGTTAGTATAACTTTTCCTGTACTTAATAAGTAGCCAATAGTTTTCCTTAGATAAGAGCAGCTTTCTTACTGAAGTGCCTGTAAAACTTATAAACAACTCCACATTGTAACAAATTCTCTATATTAGCTGTTTTAGCTGCTTTAACTTAAAAATGACCCCCTATATAGCTTTCCAGTAATTAGAGGTTCCTACACCCTTGGTTTCCCGAATTATTGAAAACTCCCGAACCACAAGTTCCACATTTATTTGTATATGTTTGCACATTTTGCTCTTTAATTTCACTGGTTTTTATGTTCGTGTTTTAGCCCACGTAATTTAATGTACCTTATGTTTGCATCCCATGCTATGGAGCTTATTCAGCAGTTTTTGCCTTTATAAACCCTTTTCCTGCCTCATTTGGGTCGGCAGTTATTAGAGGCATGAGCCCCCTCCCGACCACCAGCCATTCCACCGCTGGATATTCCCCCAGCGGCTAATAAAGGACTCATAATCCAACTCCCCGCGTGTTGGGGACATGTGTTTTCTCGCACTTCCTACACAACCAAAGTCAACACAAGTTGTGGAATTTGAACTCGTAAAATTCTAATTTACTGTTCGGCTGCTCATCAACGGTTCTAAAAGCTTGTTTGACAACACTCGGGACTTTGTCTCCTGCGCTTATGCACCTGCCAGGCGGCTTTAGTCCTTGTCACTGTCTCACGACCCATCCCCCCTTACAGTTACGTCACTTACTTTGTCATAAATCACTTTTATGATGAGAGAGCAGCTAGGACACGTCGCCACGTCTTCCCCGTTCTCCAAATCCTCCTGTAACGAAATCAAGCACCATGCGGTCAGTGCGGCCTCCCTTCACCATCTCCTCCCCGCAAGCCTACCCCACGCTCCGTGCCAGGATCGGGTGGCCTGCCTCGCCCTCGGTGGGTGACATCCGCAAGGCCTTCTGTGAGAAGCACAAACCCATCTCCCCAGAAGCTTCACTCGGGGGAAACGCCCCGGAAGACGAGGGAGGCTCGCGGGCCTCAAACCCCTGGGAAGGGACCGAAGGGCGAACGGGGTGGAGGGGTAGACGAGGCTCCCGCCACGTCTCCCCGGCTTCGCTGAAGGCCAGAGGTATAGGTCCTCTGAGAGCTCAGGGTACATGTTTAGGGGAAAGACGGGGACGAGGGGAAGGGGTACAGGTTTAGGGGAAAAATGGGAACGAGAGGAAGGGGTGTCAGAGCGGCGGAGGGAACTCCCGAGACGAAGACGCGCCTGTGGCTGAGCGGGCCGTGGCTACCTTGGTGATGGAGAAGTTGTCCCCGCACGGGCACGGGTAGAAATACGTCTCCGAGTCCTCGTCATACTGGAAGTCTTCGATCTCCACCTCGTCGTGAAACACCGCCATGGCCAGGGCGCAGGCGAAGGGCGGACGCCGCCGCTGGCCCACAGCGCCTCGAGTCCCGGGCCCGGCGTCATCACCACGCGCCGGCGCATCATCGATTGCTTCCGGCGCATAAGAATGACGCACAGCGGCCTTGGCGGCCAAGTGGGTGCCCTGTAGCGGTCACCATGGAGATGGCTGGACTAGGGGCGGAGACACTGGGAAGACGGTGCTTGCTGTCCTCCCATTGGACGACGGAGACCCC